CCTCTGGCCGAGCGGGTCCTGGGGCTGGGAGGGCAGGGGGCTGGCGGCCGGCTGGGCTGGCGGTGGAAGAAAAGTTCTGCCCCGGCCCATTTTCCTCACGTGTAAAGTGGGGAAAGTTAACTTGCTTTCTGAATTCCCAGAAGCTGAGAGCACAACATAAAAACGGTTTAGGAAGGTCGAGTTTCCCCCCACACAGGAACCATTCCTGGGCAGAGTAACTGGGATTCAAACCCGGAGCTGTGGTGTTGGGCCGGCCACGGAAGCGGACACAGCCCTCCCACCTGTGAAATGGGAACAAGGACCTTGTCCCGTCACCACACTCTCCCCCGCGGGAAGTCAGACTGCTTCTGGGGCCAGCAGGCCAGGCGAGTGGCCAGGGCGCCTCCAGCCTCCACGGCCCTGGGACCAGCCACGCCTCGGCTCTGCACGGGGGCTCCCCAGCCCGTGCTCCTGCTGCCGTGGCCACAGCCGGACGCTTAGCGGTGTCCCTTGCTCTACCCCGAGAGATCAGCAGCACGGCCTCCACCCGAACGCGATGATCAACTCATCTCCAGGCGATGACAACTGTCCCCTGGGGCAAAACTGCCCCCAGCTGAGAAGAAATGATCAGGAGCCAGACTGTCCCGTTTACCGTGCAGTAAACACGGTAAAGGGGTCCCGTTTACTGACCCCTTCTGCAGCTGGGGCATCTCCAGCACAGTCCTGGCCCAGCTCGGCTCCTTATAACCCCCGTCCAGCGTGTTGCGGACACCTGGCAAGGGCTTGGCAAGGAAGGCAAGGAGGCGCAGAGGGAAGGTGGCCGCCTCCAGGCAGGATCCCAGGACAGCCACTCCCACGTGGCCCAGCCGGCAGCGGCAGGCACAGAAGCCAAGCTGGTCCGGGGCTCCCGGAGCCGACGCAAGGCTCCCTCTAAAGAAAAGAATACAAACCTATGGAAAGGAAGCCAGGCATCAGAGCGGACGTTGATTCAGAGTCAGAAAAAAAACTAAGACAACTCCCAAGTTTAGAAAACCCAAAACATGGGGCGCCTGGGGGGCTCAGTCGGCTGAGCGTCCGACATCGGCTTGGGTCATGATCTCGCCGGTCTGTGAGTTCGAGCCCCGTGCGTCGGGCTCTGTGCTGACAGCTCGGAGCCAGGAGCCTGCTACGGATTCTGTGTCTCCCTCTCTCTCTGCCCTACCTCTGCCTGTGCCACATCTCTGTCTCTCAAAAATAAATAAACATTAAAAAAGAAAAAAAAAAAAAAAAAAAGAAAAGAAAACCCAAAACATACAAAACGTGGAGGGAACGGCGTCTTTGCATCAACGAGCCGCCTGATCCGTCTCTATAATCCTTTTTCCTGCTCTTCTTGGCCACATGTTCTCAGTCATCTCGGCGTACGACAGTGTTGCGTCACGTTCCACGGAAGGAATAGAAACAGGACCGCAGTTGTGTTTCTTCCAGCGTGGCTGGTCGAAGCGCGCTATCTCTCATGCGTGGTCGGGACGTGCAGAACGCAGCGCCCGGCCCACGCCCAGCCTGGATCTGGCGCCCACGCGGGAGGGTCCCGCTTGCGCACAAAGGCGTGGTGCGTGGCGCATTGTTCCGGCCACGGCGCTTCGGTTCTGACCAGGTGTGGATGCGCGCCGGGCTGCTTAGGCCTGCGCATATCCGCAAGCTGCGTGCTCGCCTCGGGGGGCACACGGATGTGCTCGCCCCAGCTCCCCATCTCCGCCCTTGCCCCGCGCCTCCAGGTCGTGATGCTGGAGGGGTGTCCTGTGCTGGGTCTTCATGTATAAAGGTGACTGCGTGGTGACACAGAGGTCAATGCCGCTGAAAGCTAAGCTCAGTGTCACAGATCCCTGGAGAAGAGAGGCCTGAGCTTCCGAGGGCCGCGGGGGGTGGCGCCAGGCTTGGAGCAAGTGCTTTTCCCGGGAAAGGAAATGTAGGGCAGGGGAACCGCTTCGGATTGGCCAGGAAGTACTTCCAGCAGGCTCTGGGCATGGGGCTTTCCCAGTCGTCGCTCCTCGGCCCCAGGGTGACACGGACCCGGGAGACGGCAGCATGGTGCGTGTGTCCCTGGGTAAACGGATGGGTCGGGAACCGGCTCTGGATCACGAGGGAGGCACCTATGCGAGAAAACGCAGCAAGGGAGGGGCTGCGGGAGGCCTGCTGGCGGGGGAGGGGTGCTTGTGGTCTTCGCTCCCCA